TGATGGGGAAGGGTGACTGGAACACCCCAGTGCAGCTGGGTAGGGGAGAAGAGTTCCCCTCAGTTATGGGGAAGGGTGACCAGATTCCCACAGGGTCTGGGGAGGGGAGAATTGATCCCACCAGTGATGGGGAAGGGTGACCAGATCCCCACTGGGTCTGGGGAATGGTGACTGGATCCCCCCAGGATTGGGGAGGGATGACTGGATCCCTGACAGCGATGGGGAAGGGCAGCCGGACCCCCTGGGGCTGGGGAATGGGCTGAGGCCATGGACACCAAGGTCACCTCGGTGGGGTGGGCCAGGATCCGCCCTGTCCTTCCCCAAAACCACCAGCACATCAGTGCCACCCAGGGGCACGTCACCCTCAGTCCAAAGGTCAGAGGGATCCGAGGACAGAGGTGTCCCAGGAGCCTCCCCATCACCAGAGGCAGGGTGGGCCTGGACCACCGCCCCACCATGCCACAGCAGCAGCATCAGGATGGATGATGTGCCCCACTCTTCCCATCAGAATAAAGCCCATTTATTCAGAAGAAACCATTTTATTTTTTTTTCCCAAAGAAAAAAAGCAATATAAATATTAGAGTATAAAACTTGCGTGTAACACATCGACATTGGTCTATATGGGTATAAGAAGGATATAAGCATATATATAATATATAAGTATAATTCAATATTAGACACATTGAAAGGGCAACCGTGTTTCATGTCACGAACACTCAGAGCACAGACCACATGGAAAGAAGATACAGAGAAAAATTGAAAAATACTGGTGTCCACAAGTTAGTTACTGAGATTAAAAATAACACACCACTAAATGCACAACACTCACTACGCTACCTCAGATTGCAGATTAAAAAGAAATTATAAAGACTACGATTCAGCTACAGCATTTCTAGAGGTGGGGGGTGGGTGGCAGCTGCAGGGGACAAGGGGGAAACAGCTCCCAGCACAGCCAGCGCCGGAGGTGCTGGATCCGGATGACACACAGCAGATGCTCCCACTGCCCCGGGTTTGGGGAGGGGGTGGCAGGGGGGTGACCGAGAGGGCTAGTGCTGGAGTGAGTTACCTGTTAGTGATTAAAAAGGGAAAAAAACAACACATGCCTCTGGGAAACCTGGCGCAGCCCCTCCCTGGCCACCCCGCAGCCCCCCTGGGGGGGTCTCGGAGCTGGCTGGACCCAGGAACCGGACTGGTGCAGGAGTGATGGGCATGTGGAGAAACTCTATTCCTCGGCCTTTGATTCCCTGTGCACGATGGAAACCCCAAAGCCTCACCTCCTCCGGGCTCGGGCTGGGGCTGGCCCAGCATCGTCCCGCGTGACTCCCCAACCCTTGGCTGGTTTTGCAGCATCACCCCCAGCTCTGTGGTCTCTCCTCCAGGTCTGTTCCCCGAGCGTCACCAAACCAACTGTCACTTACTCGGTCACCAACTCTGCACCAAAGCCATGTGCCAGCAGCTCTGCGGATCTCAACCCTTTGGGTGAGAACCCAAATAATCCCAAATAACCCTCTGCTTTGGGGTCCACACCCCAAATCAGGAGGGATGAGTCTCCCCATCCTGCTTGACCGATCCCACCCCCCATCCCCAAGGCAACCCCCGCACAGAGGCTGGCCCGGCTGCCGGTGCGTTCACCCCACGCTGCGTGGTCATGCGAGGACTTCTCCGGGTCCGTGGAGCTAACGGGGCTCGTGTGGGTGGGGGGTGAAGGACGCGCATGCAGATGCGGTGTGCAGAAACGTGAAGCATCGTCCCCCGGGTCCCCTCGATGGGGACTCCTCGGCCAGCCGGCTGCCCGAAGGAGCCTGGCCGTGGGGGAGCGAGACTCTCTTAGCTTTCATTCCAGAAGAACATTGACTGTACATATAAATATTTACTGCAAAGAAGGGATGAGATGTATCTGCTCTTCAGAGACCCCTAGAAGCGTGGGGGCAGCTGCCGCGCACCTCGGCACACTCCTCACTGAATTCCCTATCTCTCAGACATCAGGAGGGTTTGGGCTTTTGTCTCATATTTCAGGCCACCAGCGGTTGCACTTCTAAAAAAAAAAAGTTTAGGATGCAGCTTTGCCATATTCCCTTTGACTCATGCAATAGAAACACTTATTTTTTTTCCGGGGAACAAGTAAAGCAGGAACTGCAGCACTCCCTACCAACGTCTCAGCAACAAATCCATCGCTATCGTTAACGAAGGGTGAATTTTACTAATGGAACGTTTAAGAGCAAAGATCTGGAGCATGGGCTGCAAGCTAGGAATTGCCTTTTCCTTTCCAAAAAAAAAAAATGATGGAAGGTCTATAAATTAAAAGATCCATGTTAAAATTATTTACACTGGGCAAAGCCAAGCACAAGCCTTGTGCCTTTCTTGGACTATCTGGGAGAAAATTGGATCCAAAGACACGGCAGAAGACTTTCCGCCCTTGCATATTCTAATACCCGAGGGAATCGTATAAAACATTAGCAAGTATTCACAGGGCACTTGTTTGTGTTCGGTTTAGCTTCCAGATTGATTTTCATCATGAGATCTAACAGCAGTGAGACCCTGCTCCTAGCTCTGATGATGAGGAGATACATTCGCAGAGTTTCCTACTTTTTGTATCACAAAAAAAAAAATAAAAATCAACATTCGTCCTCCGGCCTGGGCTGTGGTTTGGGGGAGTGCTGGAGCCGGCTGCCCAGTAGCTCTAAGGTCTCCTTCTTCTTCTTCTCTACTTCTTCTCCTTCTTCCCAGATTTCTTCTTGTTGCCTCCCGCGGAGCTGGCGTTCTTGGCGTCACGCTTGCTGGCGGCATTGGTGAGAGTGGCGGTGCTGCCAGGGATGTAGACATTCTGCCGGTAATCGGGGACATGCTGGAGGGTGAACTGGGGGCCATAGCGAGCGCTCAGCCCCATGGTTCCATTCCCACCGCCCAGGGTCGAGTTGCCATCAGCAGCTTCTGTGGGGGACGCCAAAGGGTGGGGGGAAAGAGAAGGGCAAGTCGTTAACGCCAGCCAGAGCCCACCCCAAGCCCCAGCAGCCCCAAAAGGCTCTCACTGGGTGTCAAACCCAGCCCTGCGTGCCACCAATCTTCACCCCCACCCCTCATCACCCCATCACTCCACGGGACGGCTGCAAGGTCCACCAAAACCACGTTTCCATCTCTCATGGTTGTTAAAGGATTTGGGGTGGAGGCT